GGGGGCCACAAAACACAACTGAGTCCCAAACAGCAGCGAGGCGTGACAAGGGAGGGAAGGTGGGCTCCAACATACCTATGCTCCCACTGTTCCTGGCTGCTGGCGGGGCTGCTTTGGAAGCCAGGTTCATTATAATACATTAGAAACATCCTGAAGCTGCATCCTAATCCTTGATTGAACACAGGGTAAATAATGCAATGGTGGCAACTGCTTACTGAGCTCCCCATGAGCATCAGTAGGCATGCACTCTCCGAGCAGTATCCTTACCAGGGAGGCAGATAGAGTAATTTAAACAAACAAGGCCCCAGTGATGGAAATATCAAGCTCAAAGCTACCATATGGAGGGAAATCATCTGACCACAATTTACCTGTTAGACTTCAAAAGTGTCTAGGTCTCCTCTAAAGAAAAGCAGTCTTTCCTTTAATGAAGTTAAGTACTGTATTTCAGCACCGTGTGTTGTGAAAAGGAAGCAATTTGGATTCATTTACTGAAATTTACCTTTCAGATGCAGTTAAGTGAAATTAAAAGTTTGTCTGAGTTGACAGAGTTCTGTTTTCCATCACTGCATTGTCTTGAAAGAAAGGATAACAGGCTAAGTGCTTAAATTCCATCCAAACTGATAAGGTTCACTCTGTACAGACACACTTAGTGCAGTTTATTACACATTGTCTCCCTTCATCCATCACTGGTATAACTTTTTTAACCTAAAATAACTGTTGCTTCCAAAAGAAATTAATATTTGTGATGTTACTGCATTCCTCTGGGGTTGAATAGTCAGCACTGGGCTATCAGAGAAATGCCATTTCCAATGACAGAGGGAATTCATTTTGCTTCTTACTAATGGTAGGTTTTGCAGGGCTAAGCTTACCTCTGGGACAAGAATTTCTTTTCTCTTCAGATAACAATTATTTTCCTTTAATTTCTTTCCCATGTAAGTGAAGCATCTGTGTGTCCTCACTGTCTTTCCAAACACCATCTTCACACAAATCTCTTCCTCAGAAGCAGGAATGCACCTCTGAATTTGCCTGTTATATCCTCTCTAATTCTTTATTCCCACCACTGTATTTCTCTCTTTTCTATCTCCTAGATGTCATTGCTCATTCCAAACCTCACACCACCTGAGACACCCTCCCAGTTACTAACTTCTCTCCCTCCCTAATGGCCTCATAAGCTGTAATGCTCTACCCCAGCTGTTCTTCTGGTCTGGTTTTGCTTGGAGCCTTAGACCGTTTGCCTGCTAGAACAAAGGTGCAATCCTGATCCTTTCCTCACGGACTACTCTGAAGCATCACAGACATTTCTCTATTCTTCCAATTAACTGAGCAGCTCATCCTAAAAAGCCAGTGAATGATCTGTAATTAATTATTTATATTACAAGGGGAAGCTCAGCTAACACAGAGTCAACAGGAACAGTAACACACTGTGTATGCCAAACTGCAGCCTTTTAGCCCAAGGGTTTTGCCTCCCCTCCCTGCTGCCCCAGCTGGCTTTTGGCTACAGGAGCTACCTTGGGTTTAAGTTTTGTCTAAGTTCAAATTCCTCCCAAAGACAGACTTCAGATCTGCATATTTCTGCAAAACCAAGTAGTTAAAGAAAAAAGTCCCACTCCTTGGAACCTCCCGTTTAATTCTGATTCTTGAAAAACTATTTCAAAAACAAACTGCAGCCAGGCAGGACTTACTTGTTCATTTTGTTTAGATTTTGGGGGAAGGAGGCAGAAGGGAGAGGAAACCACACATTTCATCAGCATTTTTTATTTTCTAATAGCCTTCAGTGTAGCCGATTACCCAGGAGATCAGCAAATTGTAGCTCTGTCAAAGACGGGGAGAAGACAGAGCAGAGGCTTTCTCATCCTCCGCAGCAGTACTAACCCTCCAACACACAAATCTAAACACCAAGCACTCGGGGGTGCCAACTCAAATGCCTCAGCTGTTAAGACAGAACAAAAAGGAAAGGACAATCTCCAAGGTATAGCTGAAAGTAAATACTAATAATGATGTGTGACATTAAATGATGACTCATTTTTCACGAGGCCATTTCAGATTGTAGCTATAACCTCAGATCAGACCCGAACAACTCTGTGAGCTGAAGTCTTAGTGGAACCATTAATTATGGATTTCCTGCCTTTTATAGGTTGGAGTCAGACCTTTGATGTTCCTTTAAAATTGTTCTCCCTTGTTCATTTCCTTTGTTTCTGTGTTGGTAGCTTGAAAAAACACCCCAAGATTTCCATGGAAGTGTATGAGATAGCCCAGAAATGCAGAGTCTATAAAAGCCCTGCAATTCATGGCTCATAAAGTCCTCTAATCCACGGTCAATAAAGCTTTGGAAAAGAGCTGTATGAACCACAGTCCTTTCACAGCTCAATGAGGTTCATAGAAGAATCAATAATCTGGTTTAAATTCACCTGGATTTGTCCTCCACCTGTATATTTCTCTTTGACTTTTCAGATTGAAAGGCAGTTCAAACAGATGAATTCCGGAGACCTCACATAGAAACTAAGCTGCAGCTTTCACACAAAAGCCATACAATGACCTAAATCTCTCCCTTTTGTCTCAAAGGTGAGTAAGTTTCAAGTGACAACAAGTGAGTTTAGGAAACTCAACCTGGAAGAAGAACCATTTGAGAATATGGGACCATAGCTCAAGGTAATACTATATGCAGAGACCTCAGTCCATCTACCACATGGGGGACCCCAATTTAAATGTACGCAAATGCACAATGGATCTATGGACAGGCCAGAGAGTGAACTTCTAGTACACCAATTACCCATCAAGAGTCTCACTGTTGAGTGCTGGTGAGCATTGTTGAGGCAACACAACACAAGTTCACATGCGCAGGTATCACTCCATTGCCCATATTATTAGCCGTCCTAGCTGTTTCCTCCTCAGAATGATCACGCTACAAAGCCTGGTGACAGGCTCACATTTCTGCTCTTTTCTTGCCAATCAGAAAGGAACCAGTTAGAGAGAGATCACTGTTTATTGTCTTGTGCAAGGTCCAGCTTGCAATTAATGCTGATGAAACCCAACTGCCAAAAGCACAATATGCGGCAGCTGGTTTATGAAAGTTGAGACCCCATCCAATTTATGGGGAAACCAGAGCTGGTTGTGAGCGTCTGATTTAGCTGAACAGTTTGTATTTTTTGTTTTGTTTTGTTTCCAGGAAAACACCAGAAGTTACTCCAGAACTGTAGAATCACTAAAACCATCTGAAAGCACTAAGGCAGACTTCCCTTCTTCCAGCCTTTCCTCATTTCTAGGCCTGTGATCTTGTACTAATATCTCCCTGGGATCTTTCAGCAAGGCAGGTGACACACAGTGTCTGGTTCATCACCCGCGTTGTGGGAGCAGAAACTTACATTTCCTTATCCCAGTCTCCACCCTTGTGAAATGAAAGTAGAGGGATTAAAGGTTTTGATTCAGATGAAATCTCACAGGAGCACAGCACATAATTTAACTCTAACTGGGGAACTACTCTTTCAGATACTTTTCCTAGGGACATTTCTTACTGAACTAAAACCAGCATAAGGCATAAAAGTCCACCAAAGCTATACAAGCACCACTGCTTTAAGCCCCCGGCTGCACATTTCCACAGCTATATCAGGCACAATATCCAGTATCATCTCTGGCTGGATAGGACAGGTGCAAGAGGATTGCCCCTAACTGCCAGGCTTCCACCAGATCTACTTAAGCATCACACTTGCATGACATGTATGGTGAGCTGGACCAGACGCCCATGTGAAATGCGGGGACATCGTGGGACACCACGACTTAGCAGCCCCCAGGCAGAAGCAAGGTAGAGAAGTCCCTCAAGGCAATCAACTACGTTGAACTAAATTCATTCATACTTAAACATCCTCTGCGGAGAGGATTCAACCACTGAACACAATCTGGGAACAAAACACACAAAACCTTCTTACCAAGGCTGGCGTTAGCCTCAGAAATTGCCTTACTATGTTAAGATAGTAACTTACCTCAACCCTTACCTCACTCATCCTGAGAATACAAAAAACTCTCTCAAAAAAAGTGAGGCAACTTCTCCATTAAAAAGAATGAATTAAAAAAAAAAAATAAATCCCCAAACACAATAATGTGGAATTTTTTCCTTAGCAAAGGGAGATGCCTTTGAGATTTGCCTTCCTTTCACTAGCAAGGAATTTAGGTGCTGTGAAAACGGGAATAACAGCAATGCTCAAAGACAATCATTGCATATACAGGCGAGCAGCCAGTTCCCAATAGGTTATTTATTCCTTTAACCTGTTAGGCTGTTTATCTGCCCATGACTCAGCCTGAATAAAGGCACTAAGAGCTTCCCCAGTTTTAGAGGTGGGAGAATAAGTTGCCCAGGAATCCTAAAAGCACACATCGAGAATCCCTGGTCAAACATGAAGGCTTTTATTCAAACACTGAATGGGAATTTTTAACCTTGCACCAAGATTGGAATGGCCATGGAAACATGCCTACCTCCATTCTCTTCACACAGAAGCCCGAGAGAAGTACTTAATTTTGCCTCAGCTTCCTGTTTTCAATGCAGTTTGAGATGTTAAAACATTTCAGCCCCAGATCACAGTTAATATTGAAAGTCAGGTATATCAACAGAATGTTAAAGAATCCCAGGTTGAAAAATGGGCAAATCTTTGGGCTGAAAGCTGACAGCAAAGACTGCAAAATAATTACTGTAAGAAAGAGGCGAGCACAGAATATTTTCCATTGCAATTTTTTTCCTGTTTTTACTCTGACAAATCTTTGTTTCTGTATATTTTAAATATTCTAAGCAATAGCATTTTTTTTTCTTTTACTTTTAGACCAAATGTGCCCAGCAGCGTTCTACTTAGCTCTTCATTAGGCTCCAAAACCATCACCTCACTCCCTGTCTTTCCCATTCAGCCTTTTGTTAATCCTCCTTATGATCTAATCACCAAGAGCTGGGATCTGTAAAGAGCAACCAGTTAGGAGACAGCAGGAAGAGGACAGGGTCCATAAAGGTTATAACTCACCTGTCTTCTATCCGAACCCAGAGGTCATTGAACTGCCTCTGGCGATGGTGTTTGTGCTGCTTCTTGTGCCATTTCTTCTGTCTGCCAAACTCTTCCAGCTGACTGATGCTATCTGGCAACAGGAGGTGAGGAGACAGGCTGTCTTCTTCATCCATCTGCAGTGGCTTCAGGGAAGGAGATGTCAGTGGGACCTGCTCAGATAGCTGGACAGCGGGCAGGGCTGTTGCTGAGGACCCTTCCAAGGCTGGGCTTGTCTTTGTCATCCTGGAACTGCAAAAGACAACATTTAAACATTTGATGAGTGAAGCATCATGCTAAGAAAACTGGAAAGCAGAGGACTACACTCCTTGGTGAGTGCTAAGAAGGTATACAAGGAGAAAGGCTTTTGCTTTGGGCATCAACTAAAGACAACGGTGGCATTTCCTAGCAAGCTTTCAAGCAAACACTAAACTGAAAAAAAGAGGGGAAAAGCAGTTGATATGCTATTGTTTTCCGACATTTTCATTACTTCTTACAGGCTTGAGAGTCCGTGTTAGGCATCAATGTTACCTCCCTCACTGGGCTGAAGGTTAAATGGCAGAACTGTGACTCTGAGGGGAACAGGTACCTTAACAGAAGCAGATCTTATAGAATCATTGAATAGTTAGGGTTGGAAAGGACCTTAAGATCATTGAGTTCCAATCCCCCACCATAGGCAGGTACGCCTCACACTAAAACACATCACACAAGGCTCTGTCCAAACCAGCCCTGAACATCTCAAACTGATGAGATAATATTAGTTCCTTTTTCTTTTTCAACTTTGGATATCATCTGTGGAAAACAAGTAATTGTTTTGACTGCAGCAATAATTATGCTTGTTCATCTGAATTAGGAGTGGTGACAGGGAAGCTCGGGCTGATGACAGAAGTATGGTCTAGTAGCTAGGCTGCCAGGATAGGATATGTGAAATCTGAACTCTAGCATATTTTGTACAATGAAGAAATGAAGCAGAAAAGATGGTCAATGACTTGTCCACAGACACCTTGAAGCAATACTGCCAGAGCCATTCACTCCTGTCTGAAACACTACCATACCGCCTCTTGCATCTGAGTGGGACTATGCAGAAAAAGCCCTTTACATTGTTTTAATCTTCTAGAGTTTCACTAGTTTTAGAAAAAGCCAGTAAAAACACTCTCCTTTGATATGGGGTCATGTGATACATGTGACATGTACCATAGATACGTATACACATAGATACAGAGATCCATGTTACATTTGTGAGCTAAGATATCTGAAACAAGACTCTATCAAACCACTACTGACACAGTGATTCCTTCCCAAACTTCAACAGACGTTCCTGTTTGGTCTTTATTCCAAGAGAGAAACTTCTGTCCCTGGCATGGCCCAGGGAGTTGTAGGTACAGAAAATGGAAGAGAATTAATAGGTAAAATGAAGCTGTGGTCTGCAGAACTATTTCTATTACATGGATGCTATGACTTTAATGACAGAAACAATTAAAAGACACGTGAAAAGTTTTGCCTCCTGAGTGAAACCAGGAAGACATTTTAATGAAAAAGTAATAAAAAACCTAAACTTCACTGGTGACAATGTACAAAATGTGCTACAAGTGAAACCACATGTTTCACTTATGGAACATTTTGTTCTCTTCCAAAAAAAATCACATCTAGTACTAACGGCAGCTTTTCTTCTTTTTCATTGTTTCTGAAGTCCACTACAATAGCAGTTAAGATGGTCATCTCTAGTTCCACTGCATCATGTTTCACCCAAAGCTCCTGCCAATAGCTACTGATAATTAATTGTTGCTACTATGAGAATTACTGGCAAAAACTACAGTAATTTCGTTATTTGTAGCCAACATTAGTGAAATTCTTCAGAGATTGTATGACAGATAGAGAAAAGAAAGATGCTTATTCAAACGAATTCTAAATTCTCCAAGGTTGCTTATGTTAATAAAAGACACGAGAAAATCCCGTATTTTTCCTCTTTTCCCAAGCTTTCAGACTCTCCGTGTGTCCTTTATCAAATTCCTTCATACTGCATGCTCTATTTTACACCACAGAGATCTGCTGTTTCTAGTTTTCTTAATCCATTAAGACTTTCTTCCATGATTGATGTCAAGGATGAGTTTTCACCACTGCAGCAACCTTGAGAGATCTTGGTAGTCTCCAAAGCCTTCAAGACAACTTAGGCTGTGACACAGGCTCCTGGCTGAAGCAAAGCCAACTCCAGACTCATGTAAAAGGAAAGGCCCCCATAGCTTTGCACTGGGTGGGTCCCTCAGGCCACAGCAGACAGTTCTTAACCCTTATCCAGCCAGTTTAGCGGTGCACTTAGCAGTCCTGGGGTAACAGTGGGACTTGATGATCTTAAAGGTCTTTTCCAACCCCATCGATTCTATGATTCCATGATGGTGGATCAGTGAAGTCCCAACATGCATATGCTGCCATTTAGCAGCTTGGGAGGTAACACAGTGTGAATTTGGATAGCGCAGGTTAGGCAGGTAGGAAGGACCTGAACAAACATCTACAAACTCCATGTGGGTAACTGCAATGGCAGCAGGCAGCGACGCATGGCAAGAAGGTGTCAGCCTGATTGCCTGCTGCACTTATGCCAAAGCAAAGGGAATACAAGCTGGTTGATGCTGCCCAAAGGCAGCTTTGTTCTGGTATTCAGATCCTCCTGCAACCCAGCATCCATCTGCCAGCTGGGGAGATGAGCACTATCCTGGCCACAAGGCTGTGGTGGGCAGAAACATGTTAAGAAAGCAAGAGAATGAAGCAGACGTGAGAGCTCAAAGTAGACAAACAATGTGATCAACACAGATAAAACCGTGCTGTTATGAAGATTTCTGTTTCTAGTGACTTTCTTCTCTTGCCACCGAAAGTGTGCCTCATATTCTGAGCAGTCAGTAACTCCCTGAGACACTGAAGGTAGGAGCAGCCCCTAGGTCAGTCCACATCTGCCAGCTCAACACTGGGGCCACCATTTGGTTGAATGGTCTTAGAGACATCTGAACACGTACTTTCCCCCTTTAACACCTACTATTTTGTTACATGTGTTTACCTTGCTCTCAGCTCCCAGTAAACTGGAACCAGTAGAAAGGTGTTTTTATGGGTTGAGATTTTAGAAACCACTTAAGACGACTGGCAGCTCACTTCTTATTAAAATTAATGAGTTTGGGCATCAAAATCCCAGTGGTGGCTTTGAAAGCTTCTAGCTTAATTGTTTCCACTACCATCACATGAGCCACAGGTTGTAAACTCGATATTTCAGAACATTCTTTGGGAAGAGAATAAATAAACACTGCAGAAACGTTAAAATGTTGTAACCTAAAGAGGGTTATAAACTAACCACTTGTACTTTAGAACCGATGCATTGGGAATAGCTCCACTGTGGCAACTGCATATTACATTTAGTTGATACTTGTTCCATTATTCCTGTACTACTAGTAATTACCCCAAGACCTAGGAGGGACTGTTGAAGTCTGTAAGCTGATGTGTGCTTACTTCTTTCAAGGAAAAAAAAAAGCAAATTTAATGAAAACCGATTAAATATATCTGTGGACGTGGTTGTTTTCGAATCTGATCATCATCCTGCAGATATTCAACCAGAAGTGAACCCGAAACTCTTAATCTCACAGAATACTGGTATTTAGTCAAAAAATATTCTAAGAACACTTAAAGATTTTAACTCAAAGTAGAGTAACTCAAAGTAAAGTTTCTACCAGAAGACAACTTTCCCATTGATTTCAATACAAATATTATTACTGTAAAGGGCTTGAATTTATTAATATCCTAGATTTCTTCCACCCAAAGAAAAAGACAGAACCCACCCATCTACAATAGAATACCTGGACAAAAGATCTCCTTTTGTGTTAAGCTTTACTGTGAGATTCAATTGATCATTTCATGGACTATTTTGTGCCTTTCCTTCGGACTCAGTCTCAATGCACTCTGTTATTAGCACAGCTGCACTGTACGAAACCATGGGGATATAATACACTTTTTTTTCCCCACTCCTTCAATATTGCTGAGACAGCTTTTCAAGAGACATAGTTATTTTGAAAGCCAGAGAAAAAGTAGGGCTAGTTTTCAGTTTGCGAGGCCACAGTGCTGAAGAAAGAGTGAGAACGTACCACCTAAGTATCTTGGTCCAAGCAAAGATGTTGGAGATTTTTCATGAATAACTTGAAACAACTCCAGGCTTAGAGGTTCCACCCATTTTGAAATCTGTCATTCTCACACAGGGTGGTCTTTGAGAAACTAAAAGTATTTCAGGCCCTCAGGTAGGCTTTTCTCACTTCTGACCTTTATTTCCTTCCCTGGGATGCAGAGTTCTGCAAAACAAGTTCTCTAAAATAACAGAGTCCGCATGAGAAAACTTGGGAGTCTTAGCAAATACCCTATGTGGCTTGGTCCTAAGGTACAGAAAACAGTGAAAACAGGAAAACATTTATTCTTGCTAGTTCCTGAAAACACTTAATCCACAGACAAAGACACATGTGGTTTTGTTTCACTTCTGGTGAAATTTGCCATCCTTTTCTAAATCTTTTCAAGAACTAAAAGAACAAAACAAAACAAAACAGGCAAGAAGTTTAGGCTGAGCTCTATGCTCCATTAGGCTGTCTCCGCATTTCTCTCTTTGCTTTGTGGTCTCTAGTGTTGCCCTGTGCTGACACTGACAATAGAAAATTGACTCATCATCAGGATTTGCTAGGGTTATTGAGTGGATCTGGTCAGGAAAAAAAAACATTAACATCATAAAGTCCTGTAATAGCTTCTTTTCATAATTCTCAGGCTTAAAATTGTACAGGTCCCACTTTCGTTCAACCCCAAGCCATGTGGCAGTCTGGCCATGCCTTTTGCCCATGCCCAGGCAAACATCTCCCTACCCCTCTCATCAGGTACCCAATTTCTGCAGCTTGGAGGGCTGTGACCATCTCTGAGCTTGACAACTTCCTCTGTAGCATGAATTAGGGCATCCATATTTCATTCCTGCTCTGAACAGCCCTTGCAAATCGCCTATCTTTCCACACCAATGGAGGCTAATGTGGTATTAACACTATGCCTTACACCACACCTTGTTCCCACCAACAGGGATTTTCCCAAACATTGGGAAAACAGTTCATTGACCATTATCTGAGGTGAGCATCAGGCAGGGCAGACCCCACTAACACCTCTGCTCACTGGCCCTACCTGAGTAATGCTAGTAACATTTGAGGTGAGAGCCAAATGGGCTTCAGGATGGCCAGGAATTTGCCCTTGCTTTA